ACGGAGTTTGAGGAATTTAATCATTACTCATTCCATATATTATATGTAACAAAGAAGTAAGAACTAGTATTTGTGGAAATAAACCAACTTAAATAATTTTAATTTTCAATACTGGTCTTCGGTTATTCATAATAACTTATAATTAATAAGTAGATATACATTTTTAAATTTTTAATTCATTAATAAACACTGTTATCATTTGATTTTGTGAATTAAAAATCGATAATATTTGATTTCAATGCATTTTTAAAATGTTCACTTATTATTCATTAATAGGTAGGTACCTACTAATCACTCAAAGTGTAATAAGTTGAGAAATGTGAGATGAACTAGTATTGCTCTTCGTGACTTCATTTGGATATTTTATCTGTGACTATATATAATATTTTAATGTATAAAATCAATCGCCTTCATTTCATTGCCTTAGAATTGGAAAAAGGCAATCTTTCATATTTACAACTTCTCACCTTTTTTTTCGTCACAATGCATCTACCTATAATTGGTTTTTTTATCTGTTAGGTTTTTGTATTTTTTACGAATTATTTTTTGTTAGTGAACTCGTCGACAGTTAACAAACTAAAGTCCCGTCAGTCCACAAAGGGTTAATTTTATTTTTTTAAATGCTTCTTCCACTGAGTTGTTAAGTTTTTAGTTTTTATTTATCTAGAATATTTTGGATAATTTTAAGGCCACTTTGAAAAAAAAATGGAAACCATCAAACGATAAGGTTGTAAAATATAGGTTTATAATGATCTTTATTTTATATAATATAGGCTTAAAATTATTTATGTATCGATTTTCTATTACATTTACATTTTAATGGTGTACATAAAAGTTTCTCTCCATCCAGCGAGGTGTCTGAACTTTTAGGCTATACCAATAAGGTTGAAGCATTTTAATTCTTAATAGTACAAACATTATATATACTACTAAATAAATTATTAGAAATTAGTGTTTTATTTAAATAGCTGGCTTATTTTTCATCATTAAAATAATAGAGTGTGGTTTTGACAGCATTAAAATCCATAATCGTTAAAAACTTGAGGGTTTTTAAACAGCATTAATTTAAAAATTAGCGTCAAATTTCTAAAATTTAAAATTTTCTGTTTTTTTTTTCTTAACTAGTTTACAGACGATAGCCAACCTTTTCTGAAAGCTCTAATTCTGCTCGACTTCAGACATCTATAGCCTATAGTCTCATTTGCGTATTATGAAGTGGTAATATTATATGCTTTACAATACGTTCAGGTGTATGTATTTATATATTTGTTCATAAATATTATTTTTAAATGTCTTAATAATTATAGTCATTAAAATAAGTTCGATATAATATCTGATCATTTGGTAATATAGGATAATGGTAGTGTAATATACTAACTAGATTTTGAGATCTAGTCATGAGATGTGTCGTATTACATACATAGTGGATTACATATACAACATAATTAGGTATAATAGAGCGTTAATTATTATAATCAATCATATACCTATACTATTAAATAGAATATGTAATCTTAAACAAATTAAAATACGTATTAAAATAATACGCTCTTGAATTTGTGCGTAAATGCAGTAAGTACTGTAAGTATCAAAGACTTTACATTACCTCTCAAATATCCGATAAACTGTTGTTAAATACAAATTAGTTTATAAACTTACATTGCATGGTATTTTTTTTTATTTCATAAAAAAACTTTGTTTTTCTTAATTTCAAAATGTATTCATAAGTATACATGTATTGTAAGAATCAGCTTGTACTTGTCTAGAAAGTTCAACTTGTCTCAAAATTACCTATATTTACGTATTATGTTTTATGTGTGTATAAAATGTATTATACAATGTTTGTATTACTCTCTGTCTTGATATTTTACTTTGGCATAAACAAAATGCAATTTATGTTTATAGGTACCTCTGAAATTTTGGCATTGTGCCTATGAAAGAATAAATATACGCAAGATAATATTTTAAAATTACAAAAGGGTGGTTGCATATATATGATTAAATAAGAATGTGTATGACCTACCTGTTATAGTATATTATTATTTTGCTATATTTATCTAAATATTACTTTTATTCAAAACCCTGAACTAGCTTGGTATTTTTTAATTACCAATGTTCAAAAAGGGGTGGGATAGTAACTAGTAGGTAACAGCTCCGCTGTATAGTAGTGGTTGTGCGTACCTCGTCATTATAAGTAGAACAATAAATCATTGCATACAAAAAACGATTCTGAGCGAAGACTGTCAGTCTATTATCATAATATACATATATTGCTGTTGATTATTGTAGTAATTTATTTTACGATTATTAGTAATACGATGTAACATCTCACACTGTCAATGGCCAAGTTCAATTAACTGTTATATGACGAAGGATGGAAAAATGGTAGAGTCGCCAACCAGATACCGAGACAGAAGTTGGAGTTCTCTAGATTTTTGAATCGTACTACGTTATTTAAATGTAAAGTTATGATGAGGAAGTTAAGATGGAAAGCCTCGCAACATAAAAACTTTGTTAGACGATATAAAGCAATTAATACATATTTTGGACCTTATACCCCGTATACGACGTATCTACACAATATATTATATTATAAAGTATTTTAAATAAAATTATTATAGAATAGCGATAATCATAAATCGTATTTTTTGTTATGAATGTCTTTGAGTATATCATGCCATACCAAAGGTGCCCGACCACAGTGTAATCAATCTATATTATATTGAACCTATATAATATATTTCGGATAAATAGGTATGGCCGATTCTTGCGGTTAAGCTACGCCTTGGGCATCCACTCACTCACGGCCCACGGGCAATAAAACAATAATATTGAATACATATATTATTATGGGAATGAAATATAAAGTGATTTACAACAAAAAATGAATACCGACCAAGGTTTTTACAAAGACATAATATATATATAAATAATAACATGTAGTACTTACTCTGACCGATCTCGGTCGCCCTATGGTCATAGACCGCACCGGATTGTGAACTTGGAGACTACACCATACTATAATAAAAGATATATAACAATTAACAGATAATATTATACAAAAGTGCCACACGGAACAAGTGGACCACGGGGACAAAGGAAAGAGACAAGAGTGAGTATCCGTTCGACACAAAAAACAGCGGACCAAGAAAAAATAAAAACCTAATAATAATAAATTGTCCGGTATCCGCAATACATATTTTTAAATATTGAATAATCGGTGCTCGGCACAGCGAGGTGAGAGAGGGATATCGTCATGAAACCGACCGGAGGAGGAAAGTATATACAGGATGATCCACCCTTTTTTCTTCAATAATGCAGTTATTCAAAATTTGATTTTTGGTATTTTTAAGTATACTATACAAGACCATATTTTCAAATTCTTGAACTTGGCATTACAATTATTGTGAATTTTTCTATATTTTATAAAAATGTATTGATCATATTAATTAAATACATTGAAAAACGATTTGTATGTTAATTTTATACATTTACTATACAAAAATCAGGTTAAGAGTTGATATTTTATAAATAAAAAAAAATTGATACAACATAATATTATAGTTACCTACACATAATTATACTGAAAATATCTTAAAAAAATAAGAAGAAAAAGTACACTGAAATACTTTAAAAAAATTGAGATTATAATTGAGATTATAGTGCTTTAACCCATGGTCATTCCGTAAGTTCTAACACCACTTTGTTTAAAAATAAATCTTGGTAAAATAAAAATGTTAAATTAATTCTGAGTTTTTATGTTTTTCTTATCACAGTAACATAATATATGAAATATCATATAATGTAATATAAGCTTTTTGTCATAGAATAATATAAAATTGTATTTTGAAATTACCAAGGTCATTAGATTATAATATGTGTCCATGGTACAGTGTGGGGGGAGTGTTGTAGGTGTAATAACCTGGCGGTTAAGGCAACGTGTTTAATTTTTACAAGGTATTTAATAAAATGGTGAATTATGTATTCTATTACAATACAACCATTAATTAATAATAATTAGTTTTCAAAATATATAAGTGTAAATATTTAAAAATATGTAGATATATTATATTATATTTTGTCCATTATGTTATTTTGTTTCATACTACAATGGGGGCCGTTCCCTCCAATGCTCAAACATATGATATTTCTGGCCATATGTGAATGATATTGCCTCAAGTGCTTAAATATGTTTTCATGTTTGACACACGTTAATTGTATCTACTATCTAGTGATATAATTATATTGTAGCCGCATTCAATGTTGGGTTACTCTTACTTTGAAACTAAATTATTATGTTAAACAATAGTTAGTAGTTACGTTTATGTAAAGACGAGTCTTTCTCTTCACCACAGAAATCCTAGTATATATATAGGTATATAAGTTATGCAACAGAATAGTTTATCATTGGGTTTGATTTATGCATTAACTGAGACTATTATTACAACGGGAAGTTCTAATTACAAGATGTTTTGTATATTAAAATATTCATATTCTAAGGAATTATTAATATCAATTTAATGTAATATTTTTGTATGATTTTAGTATATTGTATATCACACATAATATAAATGCACCTTTATTTACCGGATACTCCTTATACAGTGTCATTCAAATTTGGACAATTTTTAATTTTATCTCACAGTATACTTTTATCAAATTGGTCGTGTGACACGTGTATTATAAATGAGCCAATGGTAATATTCACAAATTACATACCGTACAGTTCAGTGATTCTATTTTTTTTTAAATTTATTATAAGTACATTGTCTAAGCTTTTGGTAAATACGTAAAAAATTATTGAAATATAGTATTATTTTATGAAAAATAGATCATTTACTGTCGTCAAGTCCTCCTTTGATATATTCAAGTAGATAGTTCTTGTCCTATAGAATAAACTTTTATATTCAATTTACATGTTACTATATTGACATAGCAGTAATGTAATAAAATACAAATTACAAAGGAATACCAAAATAATATCTAATATTTACTGCCGAAGTGAAGCTAGATGCAGTCACTGCGGTGAAACCAAGCACTCAATTGACTCGTGCCCCTCCACACAAGCCACCGACCCGATCTGTCTGTACTGCAAACTTCCTCACCTAGCCACTGACCGTTCCTGTCGGGAATGGTTACTTCAAAAGGATATTAAAAAAATCATGGCGACAGAAAACCTATCCTACAAAGACGCGTTAATATTTAAGAAAAATAAATGTTACACACCAGCCTTTAAATATTCCGATATTGTAAACAGCCAGCCTCATATCTCTGAAAACATCGAAATCGACACTTCTCTCCAGAATGATCACTTTCCTAGTTTAAACAATTCCCACCATTTCTTCAATAATAAAAAAAAAAAAAAATACATATCTAATCCATCCCAGGTGCACAATAAAAAAAAATATTTCTTACCTGTTGATTCTTCTTATACCACCCCAAACGGGAGCTACTTAATTAATCCCAATGGCCTAATTAAGTCGCCCGATGCAAACGATAATGACTTTTCCTGGATACACACCCTATCCCTCAAATTATCCGAATCTCTTATAAACGCACCTTCACTCTCCTCTCCTTTTTCCCCGTCATATCTTCAGAACCTAATTGAGTCGTCATTAACTTCCCTCCTCGCCGTTCCAAATTTTGTTACAACCGATTAGGTAATGTCCATATTTTCAACGATTCTATAATTCATAATAATTAAATTACCTAACATGTCCCAAAATTTCTATTTTAAACATCTCATTAACAACTACAATATACTGCAATGGAACGTTAGAAGTATTACAGCCCGACTTCCTTCTTTACAGCATTTACTCACCACTCACAAATGTTCCATAGCGATCTTATCTGAAACCTGGCTACTCCCTTCACGTACTTTTAAATTACCAGACTTCAAAACCTTCAGATTCGACCGACCTGATGGTTATGGTGGCGTAGCTATTGCCATTCATAACTCTTTTAAAACTAATCTTATTCCCATCAACGATATTACTAGAGATAGACTCTCCCATCACAATATCGACCTCATCGGAGTAGATGTTTTAGGATCAGATTCTTCTAATCCTTTAAAATTATGGTCTTGTTATATCCCTAACAATATAAATGTTCCCATCAACCTCTTGCAAACTATTTTCAACCTAGTAACGCGAAACTCTCTACTATGTGGAGACTTCAACGCCTTTCATCCCGCATGGGGATCAAACTCATTTTCTCGTCGTGGAAATCATATATACAATATAATTGACTCACTCGGCCTCTGTATCTTAAATGACGGCAGTCCAACCCACATTGGGCGCTTAAATTCTACCGACTCAGCCTTGGACCTCTCCATTTGCTCTTCCGATCTTATTTGGAATCTATCTTGGCACACATTAAGTGACCCTCATGGCAGTGATCACATTCCGATTATAATAAAGTTAAACTCAAGCTCTACCACTAACATTTTTCTCTCCACTACCCATTCTGACCCTAACCAATATAAACCAATATACTATAATTTCAATAAAGCTGATTGGGCAGCCTACTCTCTCCTAATACAAAATTCATTTTCCGCCCTATCTGATAATATATCCTCAACAATGTCCTATTCATCTTTCACTAATATTATAATTAATTCCGCTAATGCAACAATACCCATCATAATACCAACAAAAAAAATATTTCCACCCTCCCCTCCATGGTGGAACCCCACCTGCACGAAATTGGTCAACAATAGGTCCCTACTTTTCAGAACCTTCAGACGTACCGGCTCTATTACTGATTTCCTTTCATATCAAAACGCTTGCGCCCATACTACTCGAACCCTTAAAAACGCCAAGAGAAATAATTGGAAGCATTTTTGTTCAAACTTAGTACCGTCTAATTCCATACAACACCTCTGGTCTGTTGCTAGGAGATTTAAAAATTGTATAACTCCCCTCACTCGCCATGACAATGAAGACTGGTTCGAAGTTTTTTGTTCCAAAATTGCTCCCTGTTACGTTCCAACCAAATCCGAATCCCTTCCTCGTTACGATCACGATGTTTCTCCTACTCATATCCTTACTAATAATTTCAGTATGTCCGAATTAAATTACGCTATTTCATCACGTAAATCCACCGCATCCGGTCTCGACAACATCTCTCCGGTCATGTTAAAACACCTCCCTACTATTGCATTAGAATCTCTCCTTGCCTTAATGAATAAAATTCTTTCAACCCAACAAATTCCGCCCTCATGGTGCTCCTACAAAGTCATACCAATTGCTAAACAAAATTCCAATACCTCTTTTCGTCCTATAGCACTCTCTTCTGCATTATGCAAGATATTTGAACATATGCTTAAATCTAGGTTAGACTGGTGGTTAGAAAACAATTCAATCCTACCTGATAATCTTTTTTCCTTCAGGAAAGGAAGGGGTACAACCGAATGCCTCGCATCTTTCACAGGAAACATATACCACTCTCTTAATAACAAAGAGTTCTTTGTAGCTACCTCCATTGATATACGTGGTGCTTTTGATTCAGTCAACATTGGTACTCTAATTTCATATCTCAAATCATTAAACGCTCCTCAACAATTCAATAATATACTTATTGCATTGTTTAATAAAAGAAACCTCGTTTTCTCCTCACCTTTTGGTTCATACAATTCTCGTTCCACTTTCACTGGACTACCACAGGGTAGTTGTATAAGTCCAATACTTTTCAATATTTATATGAGCATTATCGCTAAGCACCTGACTAGGTTGGGTCATAAGTGTCTTATATACGCCGACGATATGGTCATTTTTACCTCCAATAAGTCTATTGATCTTGCTATTACTCTTCAAAATCAAATTCTTAACGACCTAAAAGTTATTCTGGATAAGTTATCATTCGAAGTCGCCCCTGAGAAATGTAAATCCATCATTTTCACCCGACGTAGATATCTAGATGCCCAAAATATATATTTCGATAATAATATTATCCCCTATGTTCCCAATATCACTTATCTAGGTATCATCTTAGACGCCAAACTACGTTGGAAACCACAAATTACTTCTCTCTCAGCTACTGTTTCCCGATGGTCCAACTTCCTCAGGTCGGTAACTAATACCTGGTGGGGTTCCCACCCTTCTAGTTTATTAATGATCTATCGTACCCTCATACGGTCCAAACTAGATTATGGTTGTTTTCTTTACGGCTCAGCATCATGCTCAAATTTAAACAAAATAAATAAACTCCAAATCTCCTGTCTCAGAAATATTATGGGTTACCTAAGATCAACCCCCTGCCCAGTTATCGAAGTAGAATCAGACAGTGCTCCCTTTAACATCAGATGCCGTTGGCTAGCCAGTAAATTTCTTTTAAAGCAACTTGCTCACTCCAATAATCATATTTTTGACATGTATTACTCACTATTCCTCACTTGGCGATACGTTCCGAAGTCATTACCAATTCTCTCATTAACAGCTAACTCTCTTTCAAATTTTCATCAATACATTCTAAACTCCACCAAACTCCCTCTTTATGAACAGTCATATGAAACTCTACTTTTTTCTCCACTGGTTCAAACTGAAAATAATTTCTCCTCCCTATCGTCCAACGATCTACAAGCCATGCCTGTACCTATGATAAACAAAATATTCACAGAATTCCTCAATACTAACTTTAGTAATCATATAATAGTATATACAGACGGATCTGTCTCACCCCTCTCAGCAGGTTTTTCATTTTATATTCCTGAACTACATATCTCTTTTACAAACAATTTACCCCCTTCTTCGTCTTCCTTCACCGCAGAATGTTATGCCATCATAGAAGCTCTAATTCTTATATCAAAGTTGGCTCCTAATAATTATCTAATAGCTTCCGATTCCTTGTCCTGTCTACTAGCTCTCAAATCCAACCCCTTCAATTCCCATCCTTCCCCTCTAGCTCTCCGTATAAAACATATTACTCTCACACTTCACCAGTCTAATTATTCCATTCAATTCCTGTGGATCCCTAGTCACATAGGAATTTATGGAAATGAAGTAGCCGATAGTCTAGCCAAATCTACGTCTTCTTTAATTTGTCCTTCTCTTACTCAACTCCCTCATACAGACTTTACGCCTACTATACGTCATCACATTAAGCACCTTTGGTCCTCCCAATGGTCAAATCTCCCAGAAAAATTTGCCGCTAGATATAAACATATAGTTCCTATTATTCCACAAAAAATCTGGTTCAACAACCTCCATTTATCTAGAGCAACTATCGTCCAATTTAACCGCCTACGCTCTGGTCACACAACCCTGCCTGCTCATGCCTACAAACTTGACCTAAATGATTCTCCATTCTGCACCTTACACATGACAGAAATGTCCTGTGATCTTTCTCACATCCTTTTCGAATGTCCTTCTCTATACTCAAAACGCACTACTTTGTTTAATTCCTTAAAATCCCTTAATATCTCCCCTAATCTATATTCTATTCTCAATTCTAATTCTGAAACTGTCATTAATTTAATAATAACCTTTATTCTGGAGGCTGGCTTTAGAATTTAATTTTTGTAATATTATATTTTGTTTTGTATTCTTTCTCGTTTATTGTATTTGTATCTCCTATTAATTGTTGAGCTATAATTGTATTTACAAAAAGCTAAAAAAAAAAAAAAAAAAAAATATCTAATATTTATTAACGGGTTTGGAAGCCTAATAGAACAATACAATTTAAAGTATTAAATAAATATGGACAGTATAACATAATCATTAAAGTAAACAAACAATAGAATGGATCAAATAAACAAATGATAATGAAATTCAAGATTTGGACAAAAAAGAATACCCAAGTCTGTCTTCCTAGAAACAATATTAATACTTGAACCATTTTTCGAGTACTTATAGTTAATGATATTTTTTTAATAGCAAAAGACATAGATTGGAATTTCCCTACATTTAAACTTAGTCCGATAAATTAAGCCACAAGGCAAGAATATCAAGCTATTTCTGGAAGATAACACAATCGGCTACTGACTCAATTTTCCTGAAGGTTTTCAAATCGTTAGAAAACATAATGGACTTAGACTCTGGGATAACCAATTTAAGACCAATGACCAATAAAGAAAACAACAACGGGGATAAATGCCCTCCTTGAGGACCTGATTCAGATTTACATCCTAAGACTTTAACACATTTGACCCTACCAGATAAATAAGATTTGAATCAACATAGAACGGGCTCCCCAAATCCACTTTTATAAAGAACTTCAATTAAGATTTTATGATCAACTCGATCAAATGATTTGGAGAAATCCGTAAAAATAAAATTCACCTGAGTTTGTTTTTCAATGCCCTCCAATACAAAAATTATGAAAAACTATCAGTTTCGTAGTTTCATAGTGATTGTATATATACTTTAAAATGTATCTTCTATTTTTTCACCTGTGGCTAGAACTTATTTTTTCGTTTTAATTAGAAATTAATCAAGTCTTTTTTTTTAATGACTTATTGACAATTTTTTCGAGTTATTTGTCATAGAATCTGAGTGTTTTTTGTTAAATTCGTAAATATTCTAAGATCATATATTTAAAGAAGTTCTTTATAATTAATTATGCTCTTGAAGCTAAAAACTAGAAAATAAAATTTAGTTGGACCACAGATGTTTGAATCACTAATAAATTATAAAAGTAGGTGAAGTAAAGAAATTCATTTTTCCAGTAGGTATATATACAGAGTGATTTATCAAGCATAATTCTATTCATAAGCCGTTTTCTTCTTCATAATGTAGTTATTCAAAATCCGATTATTGGAATTTTTAAATATACCTTCTGATAACCA